AGATATGATTTTCGCAAGAATTGATTTGATTTCACTTGAATGTACAGTATGTTAGACAAGTTGTATAATGATTATATTTGGTATGAAAAGACACTTACAAAATTATAATTGTTTTAACTCTTTTTCACGTTTTCAATAATGCAAATAACATAAACGGCTTACAACTTTATTAAACCTAGACTATTCTGTGCAAAAGTATCCCACAAGGGGGCATCAGAGAATTATTTTCCTTGATTACAGGTTCAGCTTAGGTTAATGACATCAGATAACGTTTTACAACTATAATACTTAAACCTAGATCTCATTCTCAGGCAGTTAAAACCGAAAATGGATTTTACACCGATTTGAAAAGACAAACTAAAACAGCAACAAAAATATGTGGCATTCAATTCACAGCATACTGTATATGTAAAATGTCATGGTAGTTGCTGTCTGTATTTATTTATTTCTAAAGTTGGAAAAGTACATCTATGAGCCAGTTTTACATATGGACTCATTAACAGTGTAACTCCTAAGAGAACTTTTGAATATTTGAAATGGTTTGAAAGGATTGTATTGATTTGATATTCTATTACATTTTTAAAAAAAATCAGCATATAAAACCTGAAAGACCTAATTGGAAGTTATTATGAATAAAAATCCATTATTTCATTTCATTAGAGGATATCTCTAATATTGTGATGCCACATTAGTGCAGAATGAAATTCCTGGAATATATAAAGAAAAACTTTTATGTTAATCTTTTTATGGTGTACAAATGTTCTTTCTTAACAAAGATCAATTGGCAAATCTATTTATCTACCTACATATATCCGTGGTATCTTTGAGAATTTTATTGTTGTGCAGATTACTGTCATCACTGGAACCAAACTCCTTCAATATTGACATAAAGCAAACATTTGAACTTGACCTACAGAGCTGAAAGACTCCAAAAGTCAAAGACCTTTTTCCACCTGTTATTCTACTCCTATGCAGATGAAGCATTGGTCTCCTTGATATTCTTCTCACCAGGAAGGGTTATATCTTTAACAATGCTCTTTGTGGCATCATGCACTGCACAGGATGTAGTACTCTATAGTTAAGTGCAGTCAAACAAAGTCCTAAAACTCTTCTTTGAACTCTATTCCACGTTGTGTGTCTTTCATTTTAGTCCAGTCATTTTTACCTTAAACCTAAATAAAACTAACCTAACTGTTAAAGTTTGGAGGATTATTTAAGCAAAAATTGATATTTTGTCTTGTTCTTGTTCTGTAATTCTGTAGATCTGTACAGCTGTTCACACAGTCAACTCCAATTCTAATTTAGTAAGGCGGTGTTCAAGGGTCATCATGTTGTTCAATAAAGATTAATTGCAAAACTTAGTTTTAAGTTGGAAAATCAATAAAAGTACAATTTGTTTCATTTAAAAAGAATGTTTTCTTTTAAGGTGATAGACTCCATCAACAGCAGAAAAATTCTGTACCCTGAAATCCTATTGTTTTGACAAAAGTCAGATTTTTTTTTTTACCTGAATTGCTTTACAATAACCCCAAAGAAATTATTAAAGATAAATTTACAACTCCAAGCTCCTTGTCTTACTAACACACAAGTAAAAATAATAATTAAGGAAAGTTAAGGTATATCAAAGTTGGAACTTCACTTTTATTTTCAGTTTTAAAACAAGTTTTCACTTTGTAATATTTTAGTATCAATTGCTTCAATAGTATTTTTACATGCCTTAGTGTTCAGAGATTATGGAACCAATTAACTAATAAAAAATTTCAAGCAATGGATAAAAATAAGGCAAAGAATCATAGACGATACATTGCTGTTTTAAGATATATTGTCAAACACCTATACAAAACATCAGTTTTAACTTTCAAACAAAATAAAAAAATCATAATCCTGTCTATTTGTGCTCAACTGAAGCTTTAACTAGAGAACAACCATTTTGGTCTCACTGGAAGTACTTTGGTCGAGCTCAGATTAAATACCATACATCGACATTGAGTTTACATAGATTTTCAGAGGATCTGCCAAGCAAATGAAATGAATCCATCTTTAATCAAATTTTCTTCTGTGAAGGTCATGATACTAAGCTACTAAATGAATATTTAGTAATACTGCTATAAATTAAAACAATGTCACTAATCATAACAACTTCAAAGCTCTTGCACAAAGTTGAAAAAAACAGGAATCATTCTTTCTTGATATTACTTCTAAAACTTTTGATGAAGACATAGCTGTGTTTCTGCAGCTCTTCTGAATGAAAAGCTCAAATCTGGTTGATGTGGAAGCTGCCCTATCCTCAAAGCAGTATTCTGAAGGGGACATCTTTATAGGCCTATTGTGCTTCGCTGTAATGCTCTACCTCAGCGCTCTCATAACAAAGAGAGGACACAAAAAAGGCGGGCAGAAGACACAATAAGACTTCCTTCATGTTTGAGGTGGGTGTTCACAGAGACATGTGAAAACCCTGCATACCAACCTTAAAGGCCACAGGTGAAGAAAACTGGGGGCTGGGAAAAATAATTCGGCACTCCAGTATCATACCTTCCACAATGTTCGTGTTATACTTCATGAGCGTTTATTATTCATAGCATTGCTAACTATGAACATGTTGCTTTGTTTATTAAAAAAACACTGTATAGTAAGCTCTACATTCTTTACAGACTAACAACCTTGTATTAAACCACCTAAAAATATAAATGGAAAATAAAACTAAAAATAAAATGAAACCTTAGAAATCTTAGATACACACATTACATGATTGGAAACACATTCACTGAAAAAGAAACTATCAGTACATGCTCTACAGGGTATTGCAGTGAGTTTTGTGTTACTGTTATATTTATATAAGGTTATGGTTTTAAAATGATTATTTCACATCATTAGGAAGAATACAACTATCCCATGTTGTGATCATGATTAAAAATGAATTAAAAATTAGGTTTATGCATACTTACAGTACTGCAGAATGCTCAACCATTTATTGTTGTATATATTAACATCATCACATACAGAAAGAAAGAAATTGACACCCATTATTTTATGTTTCCTGAGTATTACAAACATAAAATTGTCCAGTGGTAGTTCATATATCTTAATATGATTACTTTTGCTTAGCGAATATTTAAAAAACTGTATAACAATGATAAGAGTGTACACAATAAAATAGTCCACAGAAACCATAAGGTGACACATTTTATTAAAATTAAAATAGCTATTATTATAAGTAGTAGTAGTAGTAGTAGTATTCATTAAAGGTACTGTCCAAAAAGCCATAAAAACTTGTTACTAACCAAACTCAAATAAACCTACAGTAATTCAGGGTTCAAGTCTCTAACGTTTAATCGGTCATTTTGAAATGAATCCCACCTCTCTTAGAGTGCAATATTAATCAAACTTGATAAATCGTAAAAGATCTTTTACAGATATTTAGCAAGAAGGACCAGAATTAGTTATTATTGCACATTATTTTGTCGAGATAAAACAACAAATATCAGGTCTCCCTGTGGAAAAAGCATTTCGAAAACTTTTCTTTTCCTCCTTTATTTTTCCAGATTTTTCCCATTCTCTCGGAGCTGTTAATAATATCTGAAGTTCAGAAATAATCAAATAAAGATATCTGCACAAGTCTTCTTTAATTAAAGACACAACGAATTTCATGCACACCTATATTTGCAAACATGTTTAGAGAGTTTTATGATTTAGTTTTGAAATCATCCCGGTTTTGCAACAATATTTAATTCATTTTCAGTTGCAAATAAGACGAATTTATTTGAGAAGATAGCGAAAACTTTTTATTGCGCAGTATAATTTCTATTGTTAAAAATACAGCAGTGTTCCTTTGAGTTCCTAAGAATCAGCTAGTGTGCTTCTCTGTTTTAGAATTTTCATAAATAACATTTATCCAGAGTTCCAGTTCATTTTTGTTTTGAGAAAAATGAACCACATTCGTTTTATACTGTGGATAATATAGGGAAGGAAAGATAAAACGAAAAAACGGGAGGTACACATAATTCAAAATACCGGCCGCGAAAAGCAGAATGAGTCTTAGTTAAAATTTTATGATTTTTGAAAGTTATTTCCTCTTTGTTTTTCTTCAGATAGATCCTCCCTTTTCTTTTATACACAATAGCTCAAGGCCAGAGTTGGAAAAAGAAGTGTTAGGAGGCGGGCAGAGGTGAAACGTCGGCTATCTCCTATGAAATCTGTTTGAAATGCCCATCTTCACTTCTTCTCAATACAGAAATGGAGACAACAAGTCTCATTGGCCTTTTAAATTCTCAAGTAAGATGTTTCATGCTAAAGTTGTAATCAATTCAATACCATCCTCACTGTCAACTTTATTGTTATGAGCAACAATACCAGCAGCAGGAATTAAATTACAACCGATAACCAATGCCTTTAATATACACACAGTATATTCCTATGCAAGGCTACACAGAAAATATATAAACATAGTCTAAATATAACAATACATATTAAAGTTGTGGAATGATTTCAAGATGACTTTCATGACTTAATAACATACTGAAGATCGGTTTATTATATTTGTGTAATTTGCTAATACGGCTAAATAAAATTCAAAATAAAAGTCTCGACTGCAATAAAATTTGAACCTCTAAGCAGTATTTAAATATCTAAGAAAATAGTCGCAAACGAATTTTCACACGAATTTATAAGGCTTGCTTTGACATTTTCATGAAATGCCTAAATTAGTGAAATCTATATTGAATCCCCTTTTCCCACGAGTTGCTCAAAGTAATGCAGGACTGTGCTTGGACAGGTTCAAAGAACAAAAATAATCAGCATAAACTTTGATTTTAGCATCACCTGTACGATTTGTAACATTTGTATTCAGACATTAATCTGCTTTGATGCTGGTGCTTGTCAGTCTTTGAAATGCAGGCCTGTGTTTCAATGCAAATTGTTCCTGATGAGGAAAAGAGGGAGGGAGATGGGGACTATAAAAGTTGACGTCAGGGTAGTGCCTTTAAACTGGCAGCAAATCTGGCAAACAAGAAGTTAAAGTATACAGGTAGGTCATCCAGGAAGGAGAGGTTTGGTTAAAGAAAAACTAGGGACAACTTGGAAGACAGGAGCTCTATTGGACACACATTATGCGCAGGAGAACTCGTTGGGAAAGATGTACGTGAGCTATCTTTTGGATAAGGACAGCAGCATGTACTCCAATTCTGTTAGACACCCCAGCCTGAATTTGAACCCACAGAATTTTGTACCGCCGCCTCCGCAGTATTCGGATTTTGCCGGCTATCACCACGTATCTGGAATAAACAATGACCCACACCACGGCCAAACGACGGGCACCTGGAGCCCCGCTTATGCACCTGCAAGGGAGGACTGGCCCACTTACGCACCCGGGACAGGGCCTTCAACTTCAAACCCGGGCCAGATTACATTTAGCCCCCCAGATTATAATCCAGTGCAGCCCCCAGGCCCGGGGATACTGCCTTCCCCCCTCAATTCTTCAGTCGGTCAACTGTCTCCAACATCATCACAAAGAAGAAACCCTTACGAATGGATGAGACGGAGTGCCCCGCCAACAACTATGGGTAATTTGATTATTTTTAAAAGCGCGTTACCAATAAACCCAAAATAAATCTGCTGTGCTGATATTGTTTTATAGAGGCTGCAATATGCACCATAATTTAGTAATTTATATTTGAGATAAAAATCCTTAAACTAAAATTGCTATGTTAAAAAGACTTGATGTACTGTGATCCATTATACAGGCAGTAAGGATGTTAGTTTGTAAACAGGCGTTTTTTTTACTTAAATTTTTAAGATAAATAAACTCATCACACAACATTCCCGTAGATGCAGAAAGAATCTGAAATATATTTGTATTACGTGAAAAGCGTTGTGATGTAGGCCTATGTACAGCACACAGTTGTACTCAACAGCTTGACAGCTGTTACCCACTCACCTGCATCTCTGACTGTGAAGATGTTTGGTACATCTGATTTGCTCCAACAGCACGTTTTAATCTGGTTTGTAAAGTCGGGTGTCAGCAGTACGGCTGTTACGTTTTTTATGTTGCAGAAATCAAATCGGTTTCCAAAGTAACTAAAAAATACCATCCTCCGCTCTAGTATTATCAGTTTAAATCTTGAGAAAAAATGTATTATCCTCTTATGTGTACTGAAATCAGTTGATCAGAGAGGTAACTTTTGATTGAACTGCGGACCTTCTTTAAGATGCTGAATTATATATCTAGAATATCTAGATTAAGATTTAAGAACTCTTGTGTATTTCTTAAAGATTTACCAAATTTAATCTACACAAATCGGAACTACTCGTTTATTATAATCAGAAGCACAAGCCGAATAAGTAGTAAAAAGATGCAGTATTGAAGTTCGTGTTCTCACTTGTCACAGCAACGGAGTGGATGAGGAACAGCCAGTGAACTTGTAATAATAATTAGGAAATGTGCTATTTTTGCTGCAATCATCCCAACTGTGTAGAGCTGCGAATCTCCACACCTCTTGTCTTAAACAAACCTTGAAATTAACGACCCCAGCTCGTACTTTTTATGAGCACCATATATAATGGATTTACAAGGTGGAAAGGTAACATTACAAGCTGGTAAACGTGTACCTTCATCACAATATTATAATGAATAATAATGGAAGATAGTATGAAGACGTCATAGTGTTGCTTTAGTTAAAAAATAACTCCCACTTCAAAATAAGACATCGTCTTGTTCTGTAAACCTAGAAGAACATTATTTTATGGCGTTTCAAAGTTTGCATAAATGTGAAAGAAGTGTTCCTTTCAGGAAAAAAAAAGTGGAAGTACCTTCCCAGGGGAAAATATACAAGTCTAAACAGTTGAAATGCAAATTCAGACCCCTTTATGTTGTCCACTGGGGACTCCGGGTGCTTGTAAGTGCAAGCGAGCAGGGGTAATTGTTTCCATTGTTGTAATCCTTTGTTCTTCCTATGTCACGAGGAGGAGAACACTATGAGATCGAAGACTTTGATGTCCGTTCCCTCACAGCACCGATAGACAAATCTCGAAAACTTTGCAAACATGAAGGATTCCCGATTCCTGCAGCAGCTTTTCTCTACGGTATCCTTCTCTTAACCTTCGGAATTTGTAGACTCTTAAGTTTATTATTATCACTATCATTATGGTGCTGTGTTTTTAGCAAGGGCCGAATATTACTAACACCAAGATGCTAAACACAACAAATAGTAACAACCTTCCAGTACTGAAAACCTGGCTTTCCTGAAATAACCTAATGAAGATGAGAAAACTACTTTCTAGGAAGACAAGTGCCCAAACATACAGTAAAACATAAAGACAACATAGACAACATTAATTAATTTGTATTTCAAAGGCCTGTAACTCCATTATTACTCCATTATTTATATTTTCCCCAATATATAATAAAAATAAATCTATTTTGTGAAGAAGAATCTAGGTTGAATCCTATGAATTAGTTTGAAGATAAGATAAATAATAGTTGTTATACATTTATTGCAATTTAGGAATTAGTACATTTTAATTATGGTAGAATATGTATTATACAACAATATATTAAGAATGGTATTTGTGTTGTGTGTCTGTACAGCAAGCAATTCCACCATGACTAATTAAATTATGCTGGCCATAGCTAATCTAGAAGTCTTGATATACAGTACAAAAATGTACAATATTATAGAGCTTATATTATAGGTTATGAGCAGCTATATAGGCTACAGATAGGGGTTTTGACTATTTGATGGTAAGAGTAAACATTATTTATTTTCAAAGGATGCAAAATAGCTAATTTAATTGCTTTGTTTATGGACAGATTAATGACACTGAAGATAACTACACACTTGAGACCAAATTATACAATAAAACCATGTAAATATTGCAAAATTGAAGCATCACAGAAATAATTGAGTTATCAGTTTTATGCTGCCATTAAATTGTTTAAGCTATTTAATATGTCCATGGCATAGTATATAACACCCCTTTATGACCTTAAAATTATGCAAATAAACTTGGTGCAATAGCAATAGCTACTGTATTTGGGTGACAACAACAGCAAAGAACCTCTGAGAATTAATTCTAAATAGATGCATGAAACACAAATATCTTCAGGGCAGTGGGGCACAAAACATACAAGCCAACACCTAATTTCATAATGTTTTGTGATGAACAACATTCTACTGTATTACATTTTTCAATACAAAGTGCCTACAGTACATTTTAAGATCTTCCGAAGACATTTATAGCAGTTAAAAAAAAACAATAAAAACTGTCCATCTCAATCCTTTCCCCTGTGGGCCAATATATTTTACCTTTCTTCCATTGTCCAGATCCAGAAATCTACTATATTTTAAATTATATCTGAATTATATTTGAATTATAATACACTTTATTTTACAATAAATTTACAATTGTGTTATATACACATGTGTTGTTGGGAAGAATCTGTAGGCACTAGTAAACCTTTGTTTTCATTCCCTAAAATGGAAAACAATGTTTGATAATAGTGCTATATTAATGCTGTGGGCTATAAATATATTTAGATATATCTATATCTTAACTGCCTTATGAACAGGTTGCTCAAAGTAGAGCTGGGGGTTTAACCCAAATTACCAGACCAAGTGTGAGCAGTTATCTTGTTGTCCAGACAGGAGATTTTACGGTCTGCGTTACAGATTAACTTCTATAAGAGAGACACCACTTTGTTCTGTTGACTTCAACCCATTCTTTCATATGAACTTCCCATTACCTGCAACCACAAAATGGTCCGTCTGAGTTTGTGGTTATGCAACTATTGTATGACAATTAAAACTTTTCAATTTTAAAAGCATATTTGAATACATTAAGTTTATAGTAGTGTGGTATTGCTTTAAAAATGGAACATATCCAGTTCCTTAGTTAAAATGATACTGAAGGTGTTCAAGGTATACATGTAATCATGTGTGCATTTCAAAACATAATATTGTTATACCCACTAACGTACCCAAACATTTCTTTTCATAAAGGAGACTTTAAAGTAGGAAAAACTGATGGCATGATTGAATGACTATGTTTGAAAGCTTCCCTAATGCTTCCATAGAATCTATTTCTTTATCAAAGAATCATGTGATTGAAAATAAAAACAAACAAGGGTTATTTCTAAACTTCTTTAATAAATATAATTGCACATGCACTTATAGGGCTTATATTAAGTTTATAGAAGATACGTTTACACAGAACCATTTTGTTTAGGAAAACCATATTGGATTTTTTAAAATTCAATTATGAAATAAAGGCAATTTTCTAAAACTCAATTCTCCCTCCAAGCTGCCAACAAAAGCTGCTCAAAAGCTCAATCTTCCCACTTTCATTCTGATTGTATGGAAAGGTGGTATAGACATGACAGGAGTGCCCCTGTGTGTTTCACACAGCACCTTCTTCAGGTGGCTGTTGCTCTTATCTCACTATACGCTGGATTTGCTTTAATCAATACAATATCTTAATGCTTCATCAAGAGCATGCTGGATCAATACCCCTCTGACTTAATTATCCTAGCCAGTAGATGTGTGAGCAATGTTTCTTGTATAAACACCAAGTTTTGATAAGAACTACCATCAAAATAGCAATTTACCGCATTAATTATGAAACACATGATTAATAGAATTAATCACAGTTTAACTGGCGCCAGTAGTTGCATAAACCTAATGGCCTGGATATCCTCCTAAAACAATTTGCTCTGCTCACCTTTCAGAAATGTTTCTGGTTTTGGATATATTTTAATATTTAACTTGATAGCCAGTTTCTGTTTGGGCTACAGAAAAAGCTGACCTACAGTGAGTAGATGTAAGTTAAGCACAGGACTTCACACATAACATTGCATTATTACATTAACAGTGTATTTAGTGACAATGTTTGATATGTCATTTTTATTTTAGACATTACTTGAAAATGTTTTTATTATACCAAATTATGCAGAATTTAAAATAATTTTTTTATACAAGTCATTGTTCAAGGTCATTTATCGCATGTCAATGAGCTCTTTAAAATGGCTAACCAAGACAGATTTTATTTCTCTTCTCAGACAACGTTAGGCAAAATGTATTACCTATGTAACCATAAGAATAAAACTGATAACTTGTTTGACATGAAGTTACCAGTTTTATGAAAATATCCATTTTGCTTCCTATTTAATTTGAAACATTAAACAATGTTATAACGTGAATGTCATAATGATTTCTCTGAAAACATCTAACAATAATATCTGTGTAAAATGGATATTCTTTTGCTTCAACATACTGTATGCTAAAGCATATTTATATTCGTGTCTGCGATGTATGTGATTCTTTTTTTATCATTCACATGTTATTTTTGATGTCTGTACATTCATCAGGTGAGAGTCATGGACTCCCAGGAGGTCCACAGAACAAAAAGTCTGAAAGTTTACGAATGTGAGTTGTAACGCTCAGAAATTGTTCACAGGAGGAAAAACCAGAACAAAAGACAAATACCGGGTGGTGTACACAGATCACCAGAGACTGGAGCTGGAGAAAGAATTCCACTATAGCCGGTACATCACCATCAGACGCAAAGCAGAGCTTGCAGCAGCACTTGGTCTTTCAGAACGACAGGTTAGTCACAGCCTGCTTTTTAGAAAAAATATTATCCCAAATCTTCACTTTTGTTTTTTTCTATTTAAGGGTGTTGATATCAGACAGCCTTAGGTGTCTTAGAGGGGTAAAGGGGTGTATATATCCTATCTAAACTGTTAGTTAAATATTTTCATGATTGTTTCCAAGTAAGCCTCTAATCTCAATAGTGTTCACAGTCTCCTACTGAGGTATATCATCATAATGAATGCTGAACTACAGATTAAGGTGTGGACAACAAGATATAGGACAGAGGAAGCATTCTTGTCTGCATGCAATTCATTTTGACAAAGATGTTCTCAAACTTGTCCCATCTCCTCTTGTCAGAACGCAGACAGAATAAAATGCAGAATATGTATCTTTCTTGCTTTGATATTATACAAAAATGCATATTCTCTTATTTAAAAGGATTATTTTTTCAATGCATGCAGCTTCTCAGTACAGCAGAGCTAAAAGCAATATGCATTGCTTACTTGGTATTAAGATAAATATGTATAATGTTGTATGCAAGAACCTGTTACTTCAACCCTTAACATAATAGTTAGAAGTACAAGTTAAAAAGTGTAATGATCTTATACAGGTAGATAAGGTATGTTTTGTGAAAAAAATATATTTTTTACTTTATATATACATATGATCTCCATGCATCATTCCCTATGTGTTCATTCTAAAGATACAGATGCTGCGTACCTGGAGTTTGAAAGGATGACGATTAGATTAAACTAGTCTACCTACCATTGTAAGACAGTTCTTGATCTATGGTAGGCGGAAGGATGAGAGAAGAAACCAAAACATCTTAATACATCTTATACATCTTAATAAAGGATTTTGAATTAATAAGGAATAAGGATTTTGCAATGAACTGAGAGAAGAGGTTTATAGCGGACTAGTAGCTCAGTGTTACTGTGGAAACTGTTTTAATGGGTTTCAAGCAAAGATAAATGAAACAATACAGCATAATGGTACCAGGGTACATATGATGGCCATGAAAAGCAGATGTGTTTTTTTTTTTGAGTTTCTGAAGCAGTGTTAACGTTTCTTTCATTTTTGTACAGGTAAAAATCTGGTTTCAAAACCGACGTGCCAAGGAGAGGAAGATGAATAAGAAGAAAATGCAACAATCTCAGCAGGCATCTACTACCACCCCCACTCCTCCTGGCGTGGGGTCAACAGGCAATGTTGCCATGGTGAGCAGCAGCAGTGGCCTGGTCTCCCCATCCATACCAATGACTGTTAAAGAGGAATACCTGTCCTAACGACTGCAAGAATGAGCGACACACAACCAACAAATGACCAACAACACAAATTCATGCCTGAAATCACACTGATCCCAGGATACAACTTCAGCATGAAGAACTTTTTTTTAAAAGAATATTCTTCTATAGCTTGCTGTGCTTTTGTAAAAAAAATATATATAGAAAAAAGAAAAATATATATGACTGTCTATATGACTGGTAAATGTGAGCCTCTTTGACCTGCTTTGCTTTCCAATGCCATACCTAAACAGCTTATAACCAAAGAGATATTATGTAAATGAAGATGATTTGATATTCAATTTTGAGATGTGTATATGGTTTAAATAATTTGTATTAAAATCTTTATGTTATGCTGCTTAATAATGTTATTATTTGTGATAATGGGAAAGGGGGTCTATGGAGCTGAATATGTCACTGAAAATAAAGCACAAAGACTTTGTCCTGAATATGATCTCACTGTTCACAATTTTTAAGAAGTTTATTGTTTCATTGTTCTTCTAGACTATCAAAGACAAAAGGTATTTCTTGATTTCTGATGCTTCAAATATACAGTTTATATCAGAATTCACAACTTAAATCAAGAGATGAGGTGAAACAAACTCAATGATCACTTAAAATTAATCACATAAATGAGATTAAACCGGGGACAAGAGGACATTGAGAACCTGCCAAGTAAAATGAACAAGATCTATTTTGACAACTTGAACTGTGCATGCTCAGAACAAAGTACCATGATACAATATTATAGTGGATACTTAATGATACTTCAGAAACGGGTTTGATGAGATTCTTGGGTCAATCAGTTACCAAGAGAAACTTATACAATCAATTCTAAATGGCATAAGATGCATTTTGTAAAAATGTGAATACGTGTGTTAGATGTGTTTATCCTGAATTATTTGATCATTACAACGTGATGCTGCAGTACTACATAAGTACAGTCTGAAGCTTGTATTTACATGGTTTAAAGTCAGTGCAACCAAAAATGTGCAATATTTTTTTTAAAGATTCATAGACAAGGTGTGATTGTCAGCTGAACTGACAGTTATTGAACATAGGCCCACGTGTATACATCTTAATAAATGATTTTGAATGAATGCACTAGCAGTCTTGTAGTTCAGTGTTACTGTGCAAACTGCTTTATTGTTTTTTAAGAAAACAGTAATGAGGAAAGTCAATAATATGCACAGAGTTCCAATAACTGATCTGCTTCAAAGATAATTAAGTGCAGAATAAATTGTCTTCAGTGCAATAGTAAGTGATTTATAGGGCATTCCTTTAATGAGTTTATAGCCCTTTAGTTTCAGTATTAATGCCTTTTTTGCAGAAAGAGGAAGTCTGATATCATTTTGATATAACTGCTGAAATTCCTACATTCTGATTATTCTCATCAGCATACAGCCAGAAACATCAGTGTTCAATGATGTGTTTTTCCCAGTTCCTAAATAATTTTTGAGATTGTAAAGGATTGTAACAATGAAAACATGGGGGCTATTAAAACTATATATGCAATTAGGTATGACAAGAAGAACAGTTGTTTTAATATAGAAACAATTAATAAGGAAACTTCAATTCTAAGTCAAGCTTTTTCATTTCCTCTTATCAAGAGTGACCCCCAGACAAACTGAAGCTAAGCACAGAAGGCTTCTATTGCATACATAGATATACCTGTATTTGCTAATCTAGTTAACAAATTGAGGGAGTGGTGATCAAAGGGCAAGGTGAGAGCTTAGCAAACACAGTTCCTGATCCATAAGCTCCACACATAATACACCTCAGTTATCACCTCTGTGGAAGTGAACCTGTCTTGGTTGGAAGCAATACATTCTGTTCTGTGTTGCTAAGTTTTCAGCAATAACTGAGATAACTGAAAAAAAAGAAATTTACTGAGATCATTTCAAGCCAGGAACTACATTGTATAACCATGATATTCTGACTAGGTCCTAAAGGCAAGTGGTGGAAAGCCCTAATCTTAATAAAACATTAATGAAGTTACATTTTGATACAGATACATACAAGGACTGATGATGGAAGTACAACTAGATAAATTAATAAAATTGCTAATTATTAATAATAAGGCTAGCACAAACAGGAAGTGCTGTGCTAGAAATGATAAGAGTTGGAAAAAAAACTGTTAGAAGAGGCTAATAGTGTGCATTCTATGTTTACAGTAAATAACTGCGATAAGCACAGCAGATTGCCATCTTGAGAGCTGGAGAGTCTGAATTGAGAGACCTGGAATGGATGAATAGCTCCGGTAGGGAGGCTGATAGTTTAAGCCTAGGGCCTGGACAAGAGGCTGTGTAGAACAATAGATAAGAAGAGGCAGATTTTGTGAATGTTGCCTAAGAAGTGTGCCAAAGGAGAAAAGTGTTGGGAGTAGCAGAGGGAGGGGTCAAGAGTGACACAGAGCTTCTTGGCAGATGAGGAGGGGGAGATGGTAGCTAACTGAAGAGAAATACAGCCGTCATCCTGAAGAGAAATACAGAGATAAAAAGGCTGTCAGAGGGGGGGAGAAAATGAGGTCAGATTCTGAAAGGTTAAGTTTAAAATGGAGTAAGTGAATTCTGGAGGATTTGGCTATACTGCACTGCTTACTATTATATTATTAGATATTGTTATTTAATATTATTATATCACAATGTAAACTTACAGTTTTTAAAGACTCAGTTAAAATTGACCTCAAGGCCCTTTACAATAACAGGGACAATATGCTTTATAGTATTAAATTAAGTGAACAATCGAGCAGAAAAATTCTGAACAAGTTGCAATTTTAGATTGAATACCTCCAGGCAGAGAAAAAATAAAGGTTGAACTAAGGTTGCTGAGGAGTAATCCAAAATGGACCTTAATTTAGCAAAGGTGACAGTAACTAGCCAG